TGAATATCAAATCCATCGATGTTTAAATCAAACATCGATTATTTGATGCATTCCATTCCATTGAAATAATATCTTTACAATTTCTTCTAAAATATCACCAATAACTCCCGCTTACACCATAGTATACAGTGGACTGCCTTCAAAACATATTTTTGACATTGGGGAAACTGTATCAGACTTCAAATTTGTTATTAATGATATGAAAAATCAAATGTTATATAAACTTCAGAAAAAGTGAGAAAAGTGAGAAAATATGATTAAATCAACGAGTTCTTTATTTGTGGCTGATATTTGACCTCCTGCTAGCTTTCTTAAAGCTTAAGCAAGAAGTCTTTTGGCTTCAATAACAAGTTCATCGTCTGGGAACTGGGTTTCGACGTCTTTTAATGCTGCGCGAAGCTTCTTCTTGAAATCTTCTAAGCGGCGAACGACATCCTTGAGGGTGGCATCCGCTTCGTCACGGAGGTCATTCAAGTGCTTCATTTCGTAGCTTCCTGGTTCGTATGTTGCACTGGAAACCTTGTCTTGAGCTTCTTGGAGTTCTTGCTCGTAAATTCCAACTTCCTTCTTTAGGCGTGTGACGGCACCAACTTGGATTCTGAGTGTCTTTTGTTGTTGTGGATTCATTTAGACAAATAAATTTTTTCCGAACGTTTAAAATTCACTTTATATTCTCAAAAAGTGAAAAATATCTCAAATTTTGGATAAAAAAATTTATGATAACCGACAATATATGGTCACTTAACTTCACTCAGATCACAAAGCAAGGGCAGTTCATTCTTGTCGTATTCATCAATTAAAGTTTTTCTCAATTTTATAATTCCATAAATAAATATTTTAGTTATCATTCACCAAGCCAAGCTTTTTTTAAGTTGTTGAATTTCTAATTTCCCCTTTTCTGTTCATCTCAATCAATTCATTGGTATATAAATATGAATTACAACAATTTTCATTATTATTATATTAATAAAACAAAAAGACATGAAAATAATTACAAATATTGACTCATCAAAAAATTGACATAAATTCATGGAAACCCTTATCCATGCTAAATTCAAACAAACAATATAAGTTTAATATGAATAATAATATTATTAATAATATCAAGAATATTAAGATTATGCTTCGCCACTGTTTACGTTTGCACTGATTGCACTTAAAATTTCTTGAGAACCACGTATCAATATTGAAAATGATTCCTGTGTTCCACTACATAACTGTAGCTGTATTGCAGTTGGTGATTGTTCAGTTGCATCTTGGCCTTGAATAACAACATACAGATTTTGTTGGCTGTGCCTGCAAATGATTGTTTCATCATCTGGATGGAACCATTGCATTTCCAATTTCCTCATTAACAGTTGAATTCCAAACATTGCCATAGTTATATTCAATCCAGGACATTGAATAAGATGTGTTTGCTCATAGACAATGTGTTCTTGTGGCTGCATAGCCCATTCAGCCCTAATTGCGAGGGAATTCACTGATTCGTAGGATGTTGCGGAGCTTGGATAATTATGTCTATGGAATGGATCATTTCCCATGATAGTGTAGGCAGTATTTGCTGCATCCATCATATATGGCTCTTCATTTATTGGCATTTCTTGGACACCACCAACACTAGAATCCCATTGGAGCTGTTCCATTGCGATCTGGGATGTCAGCATGAAGTAGAAAACTTTTGCCATTGTGTGGCCAGGTGTTGCGAAATCGACTGCAAGCTCTTCAGCATCAGTATATCCGATTTTCCGAAGCAGATCGAAGACTTCGGGGGCAACTGCGTCTGGCGGGATTGGATCATTAAAGGATGGCGTCGGAAGTGGGGCTGGAAGGACATATTCGGGTGGAAGACCCCACCTGAAACACTCATGTGACTTAAGTTGTGCGAGAGTGATTCTTTTGGATGGATCAAGAGTCAGCATTCGAGTGATGATTTCTTTGATTGGTTCTGGAAACTGCGGCATTGAGAAAACACCACGTTTAACCTTAGCAAGTAAAGCACGGATCGATTGGTCATCAAAAGGAAGATATCCCTGAATGTTAGATATTCGTTGAAAGAAAATATTATTTTTTTCATGGAAGAGGAGAAAAAAAAAATTATTCGCGTACTTGCTTGAATCTGAACAAAAATTTGAGCTAATATTTGAATTGAATAAAAAAGAAAAAAGGAAATGATCAAGGAAACTCAAATTTTTGAGAGAATTCAATCAAATTGGAAAATAATTTTTTTCCCCTTTCTTCTCTTCCAAAAGAAAAATAATGAAAATTACATACGGCAAGTAATGCATATAATATAACGCCACAACTCCAAACATCAGCAGCTCTTCCATCATACGATTCACCTCGGATGACCTCTGGAGCGGCGTAGTGAGGTGATCCGCATGAGGTATCAGCAATGCTGGATTTGACAAACCTTGCAAACCCAAAATCAGCGATTTTGATGTTGCATTGATCGTCCAATAAAATGTTTTCCGGTTTGAGATCGCGATGACAAATTCCAAGGGAATGCAAATATTCCAATCCATAAATAATCTGGCGGAAAAACTTGAGTGCGACATCTTCTTTCAGGCAGCGGTGCTCAACAAGGAAATCAAACAATTCGCCCCTTGATGCATATTCCAAAACGATATAAAGATGACGGGGCGATTCCAAAACGTCAACAAGCTTCAATAAATGCGGGTGATCGACAAGACGCATGAGCGCGATTTCTCTTTGGATTTTTATATGAAGATTTGGTCGCTGTTGAAACGTCGTTTTCGCAATAATTTTGATGGCAACTTCTTGTTTTGTTTCTTGATTCACAGCAAGCTTAACTTTACCCGTTGTACCAACACCTAATGTTTTTATCAGCAAATATGGTCCGATCACTTGCTGTGAAGCATCCATTTGGTAAATCGATACTAAATGGCTCCGTTCTTATCAAAAAATCAACATTTTGAATACTTTATTTTATTGAAAAGTTCATATCAACGAAAATTCAAAAGAAAGTCCTCATTCAAAATAATGTTAAATGACTAAATATAGGTTGAATATATTAATATCGCTATTTCTGTCTTATCATTGAAAAAGTTATATCAAAATTACTAACACATGTTTTTTTAAATCTCGAACAATTCTGTGCTTTGCCAAATCTTGTTATACATAATGCAGCTTTATACCACGTCATGCAATCTTTTTAAAAATGATTAAATATTTTTTGAATTAAATTTCAATTCGTTAAAGAGCAATCTTCATATTTAATTCATTAATATTTAATAGAAGACAGAGGATACTATTTGGAAGAAGATATTTATTAAACATATTATAATATGCTTATTGATATAATTATATCAATAATCGAGTCTTTTTTTTTACAATTCATCTTCATCATCTGGACGAGATATACCAGACTTGAGCCCTACTTCAAACCACATCTTTTTGAAATATGGTTCCATTTTATTTTGGTCATCTGGTGGTAGTTGGCTAATTATTTTATTAAAAATACTGATTTCATTTCTAAATTCACTTTTGCTCTTTTTAGGTACATCAAATTTATAATTTTGAGATCCAAATTTCATTGCAAATCTCAGAAAATCATCACGCTTCATCGAATGCAAGAAGGGAACATCATTAGTCCTATTTTTACTTGGGTAAAATCGAACATAAGGAAGTTTATGAATTTGTGGGAATTTCCTTGGAGATGAGTTTAAAATTACATCAATTACGCCAAAACGAATGTTTCTAGCAACTTCTGCTGCTTTCTGAAATTCAGAAAGTGCTTCATTACAAACACCATTATTAGATTCAACATACATTACATAAAGATCATGTCTTTGATCCTTCATGAAAGAATCATAAGTATCACCTACAATTTTTTCAACTAAATCATTTTTATTATTTTTAGGAACTGGTTCAGAATGATATTTTCTTTTAATTTTCCCTTTATTTATCATAGAAAGATACAATTCAGCATCTTTCATCCATTGTTCTTTATTAAATGGTAAATTAAACAATTTTGGATCATTTATAGGAAAATAAGAACGATCACTTGGTGAAAAAGTAATAATTGTTGGTAAATTATCAAATTTTTGCATAGTTGCATGACGCGCAATATATTGAAGCTTTGGTTCAAGATACCCAATCACAAAATTAGGGAATTTTATGGATAAATTGAATAAAAGTTCATCAACGTCTTTCAAATTAGAATCTTGTTGTGTCCCTAAAAAAGCCACAAATGTGGAATCAGGTTGTCGAAAGTCAGTTGTTACAAAATGTCGAAAAACTGGAATTGTTGCTTCAAAAATTGAATCGATATTTGGTTGAATTGATTGAATTGTTTGATCTTCAGCTCGATAGATTCCAATTTCATTATTTTTAATTGTAAAACTCTGCTGTAAGAATTTTTTATCACAAACGAGGATTTCCATGTTTCCGACATATGCTGAAATCTGAAATCTCAGCGACATCACCTGCTGGACAAGTTCTGGAGGAGTCAATAAGGTGAAATCAAAATGGCCAAAACAGGATAGAAAATCGGCCCTATTGTTCATAGTAACAAGTTTTTGTGAGAAGAAATGATTAAATAAAAATAGCAGAGAATCTTCATTTCTTGGATAGGGGAGAATCAGCCATTCCCGCTTCTGTTTGAATAGAACCAAACATGGCGCCTGCTGTCCATATTTCCGTAATTGGGATTCGCTTTTCGAGGAGTCAATAATGCAAAAAGACCCGTTATGATTGAATAGAGAGGACGCCCGAATGAACTGATCTTTGAGAAGAGGCGAAGCGGAATCTTGAGAATCGATATGAAGGACGACTGAAAAAGTTGTAGAATGGATGACTTTTTCCATCTCGGAAAGGGTATTGACCGTTAAAACTTCAGGCTTCCTGATCTTATACGGGATAAAGATGAGGAGAGTGAAAAAATAAATAAGCATTTTCCGAGAGTTGAAGATTTATTTTTCGATAGGAAGTTTGAAGGATTCAATGAGAAGAAAAATTTTCTTGATTCAATGTTTTCAACAGGGGCCGTAGCTCACTGGTAGAGCATTGGATTGCAGATCCAGCGGTAGTCGGTTCGATTCCGGCCAGCCCCTAAAAATTCTTTTTTTTTTTTTTTTTTTTTTTTTTATTTTACTTCTTCTTTCGTTTTTGTTGGAGAATTTTAATGTCGACATACTCTATTTTAACTGTAAATGATAGTGTTATTTATTTATTTAAATTTTTTTCAAAGAAATTCCTCAATGATATTTATATCTGTTTTAAAATTGAATTTCTCCAAAAGCAAATATTAACATCGTATTATAATTAATCTATTAAATTAGATACTATAATAGAACTAACAAGTGGAAAAAACACAAACAGAAAATATCATCACTTAAAAACATATTTACAATAACTAGTAAATAGTGAAATAACAATTTCACTATCTTCATTTGATCAGTTTTATTTTTTCAATTTCAAAGGATCATCAATCATCTTTCCAATCAAGAATATTTTGCCCTTGGGATCAGTGATTTTATTTTTTACTATATCATACATTGCGTCTGCATTTTTGGCGAGGTAATTTTTATCTGCATAGAAAGAAGGAAATTCTTGCATGTCATAGAGCAAATCTTCAACTTTTCTATAGTCTCGAATTTTACATTTTTGAATGAGTCTTTTCAAACTCGGAGGTTTGGCAGAATCAAGAGCTGATGCTGGTTTTTCATCATAAAACTGCACAAAATCATTTTTTCCAAGCGTTGTTAATAAAGTACTAATTTCATCATTAAAAACTTGAATAGGATTCTTTTTCTTTTTCGTTGATTTGCTACCATCACTTTTTGTTTTTGAATTTTTACTGGTGAATGGTGAAGATCCATTGATATTTTTTATGGGATTTGTATTCGAAGAAGATGAAGAATGATTATGTGAATGTGAATATGAAGAAGAATGTGAATGAGAAGAAGAGTGTGAATGTGAAGACGAATGAGAAGTTGATCGTGTTAAATTCTTGAATTCATGATATTTTTGTCTAGCTATTTTAATTTGCTCAACAACATCAGGTGTAATTACGAATTTAAATGATCCATCAGAGTCTTCATGCGCAAGTAAAAATGTATGTGATGGAATATATCCTAGGCATTTCTGTTTAGATGCTTTTGATTTTAATCTAGTTTTTTTCCTGAGTTTCTCGCGAAGGAATTTTAATCTTTCACTCAGGATTCTAAATTCAAGGCCTTGGTTTTGAGGTGTAGTTGATTCATAAAAGACACCTTCTTTTCTACCAGCTTCTTCAATTTGTCTTTGTGATCTTTTCCATTCAACATTAATATCAACACCTGTTTCATTTAATGATATATGTATTTGTTTCATTATGGTTCTCATTTGCTGGTTTGAATCGAAACCATATTGTGTCCAATCAATTATTGTTGGTGCTGTACATATTCCATAAGGAACAAGTTCTTTGGGATCTCCAGATGATTGAAATTTAGGTGAAACTTTTTGCGTTTTTTGGGAATCATCTACTTGGTCATCATCAATATCAAACATATCTTCTTCTTCTTCATTTTGACCAGCATGCATCATTTCAAGACCAATGTCATCAAGTAAATCTCCAACATCATAATTATCACCTTCATCAAGAAACTCTATTGTTGAAATAAAGTTTAAATTGTTTTCAAAGGTTTGCTGATATTGGCGCTTATACTTTTCTAAAGTTGCTTGATATTCATTTCGTGGTCCACGAGCATAAAATTCGGCAACTTTTGAACTTGGATCATCTTCTTTCTGTCTATTGGCAAGTTTTCTTAAAAGATCAACTTGCTTCCAACGAGATAATTCTTGAATTTGAAGAAGAGGAACTCCAAGTGATAATAGTTGTTCTCTAAGTGCGAATTTTGAAAGTTTTCTTAAATCTGCTAAAGTTCCAGCTAGTGGTTTTTTATTTACCAATAATTCTGCATTTTCAGTTTTTGCACGTCTACTTTTCTTTCTAAAAACGATTTGACCATCTGCATCAGTCATTTCGAGTGCATTCGATTTAAAGGCACCTCTAAAACTTGAAGTTTTCGCCCAAGGTGTTTTCATCAATTCAAGCTCAATTTTTCCCGCAATTAATTTAGTAATTTCCCCATTTAGTTTCTTAATTTGAAGATAAAGCCTTGGAGATGATGTTAAAATATTTACACCACTATTAAGAAGCCGATGTTTACCAACAAGCATTGATTGATAACTACATACTTCTTCAGGTGTTATTCCAAGTCTTTCAAAAATCTGATCAAGATTTACACCATTTGATCTTTCCCAATAACCATTATTTATATGTGATTTTGAAAATGTTGTAAAAGATTTCAATATTTTTCGAAGTTTTAGATCTGTTGCATCTGGAAAATAATGTTTTTGAATTTGAGTAATTTGTACTCTTTTTCTAGGCGGAAATTGATGAGTTCCTCTAAAAATGTTGATAAGTATGGCTTTCATAAATTCTTCTTGAAAACGTTGAGTAGTTTTTGCAGATGGGGTCATTACTTCTTCATGAGGTTCCAACATTCCACCACAAAAAATTGCATTAAACTTTCGAATATAAAATAAAGGTTGTTTCATGTCTTTTACCAAAAGAAAATCAGTTCCATTTTGCTGATGCTTAAAAACAGGCATTCTGTACATCTGACAATAAATCGATTGAATAGGTTTATTTAAAGGAAGCTGAGCAATAAAAGGTGATGATTCATTGGGTTCCAAAATTTTTAAATTTCGAGCATTTTCAGAAAATGGTGGAATATCATTATCATTTTCTTTATGCCAATAAGTAATCATTAACGTTCCCATTCCAACATTTAAAATAAAAGGCGGAAATTCTGTTGTATGCTCAACTATTAAAATCTCACCATTTTTACCACTTAAACTTTCCATATCTTTTAAATAAGGAGATTCATTTTCGAGTTTAGGTATTTTGGGCACATTGGTAATATTAATGTAATCATTGACTGGCGGATCAAAAAGCGGGTGATGAAAATGTTCAAAATCAATATTTGGCTCAATTAAAAATAACGAATTGGCAACATCCGCATGTTGAATTTTTTGGTCGATATTTGCTTGGTTATCAGAAATCAAGGCACTATAAAAATTTCGGTCTTGGTCTATTAAATTTAAATTATTCCATTCACGCAAAGTATACTGTTCACCTTCTTGCTTGTCAGTGAAAACAAGATATTTGTCACTTCGATCAAGAATGAGAGGAACACTTGGAATTTTAGTAATATCCCACATAACTGACCATTGTCCATTGTTTGTTATCTGATTAAAATAAAAATCGCATGACATCAAATTTTTCATTTTGGCGTTTTTTGAAGCTTTTGATGTAGAAGGTTTCCCTAAATTTGGTAAAACCAAATTCTGACGAGGAATCATATTCATTTGTTCTTCTCGTTTCTTTTGGAGCCTTTTTTGCTTTTCAATTTCTTCATCTGCCAACCTCTGATCAAGATCCACACTTAGTTCCAGAGGATGCATCAAACTAGGTTGCGAAATCATTCTCTGTGGTAGAATATTTCGAGATAGACTCATTTGCACCTGCGGTGATGGCTGCTGGACTGGATTATGAATAAGGATTTGAACTGGCAATTCATTCGCAAGAGTGAATCGTGGGAAAGTAAACTTATCACTTTCATTTTCGTTTTCAATGATTTCGATTTGATTTTGATTTAAATTTTGTTTGATATAAACAGATGATGTTCGACTTGGAAGTGGCGTGGAAGAAACTCGACCATGAACATTCATTTGAATCATTGGTTGTTCTCTTTGATCTGGCGCTTGTTTTGCACTCGTTGATCGTCTGTTGATTCGATGAATTTTGGCGGATTGCGATTTTTTTCGCCATAAATCTTGTTGATAGGTTAAATCTTGTACAATATCTGATAATTTCTGATCACCAGCGTAAATAACGTTGGTGATCTTGAATGTCATTTTTTTCAAAATCGACGACTTGTGAAATGAAATTGCATCAAAAAATGAATCATGTATGGAATAATATCAAATTATTATTCCGAATTTAGAATGCCAAGAATAGATGTCGAAGTAGCTTGCATTACTGTCATGCATTGATGGCGTACGAAGAATGATCAAAAATCATTCGTAAAGAATCCAATGCAATTTAAACAAGAATTTGCTATTTAACTTTAGAGGTGGAAATTTATTGTCAACGACAACGATAACATTGCGTAGAAAATAAAATTAAAGAATCTTAATTGTAAAGGGGCTATTCAATTTGATTTCCCTAAATATTTGATTTTATTTGAATATTGAGAGACACAGTAACTTCATTTACAAAAATTTTCAAGATATTGCTAACCAAAACCAAAACAAGTAGTTTTTTGATTTCCAATACGACCAAATATAATGCCACTTTTGATATCACATCATAATTACTGTAACAAATATGTTGTCAATTTTGAGAAAAACCGTTTCTATTGAAATTTAAAATTCCCCGCCATTTATATTATCAAACATGCAACCAGGAGAAGAGAATGTCCCAATTCCTCCCCCTCCACCCCCGATCCAACAGCAAACACTCCAGATGCCCCTCTTTTGGCAACTGTTGAACGATAACGATAAGGAGGCTTATAACAGGATGAGAGTCGCTTTATCGTCGCCTGCTTGCAAGCACAGGCGACACCACAGCAATGAGCTGAACCGCGAAATCGTGAATACAATCAAAAGCTTTGTAATTCGGAACGACGGTGAAGATTGGAAACGCGCCCTTGTATCGGGCATTGCATGGCTCCCAAATGCAATCGCAATCAACACCAGACAACTTCGACTCCTTCTTTCCAAGTGCAAGTCCTCGATTAACGCCCTCTTTCAAAATATGGGATACGTTACGATTCCCACCACAAACGATTACTCGAGTTCGCTAATCAATTTGTTCCCACTTTTAAGGGACAATTTTACAGAGTTAAGAAAATGGACTATCCGACTGGCCCAAAATCCGCCGGCAGGCCTCCCTCAGCAAATTCCTCTTCAAACTCAAAACCAAACACAACAGGCTCCACCACAACAGCCGCAAATACAACAACAAACGCAACAAGAACCAAAGCCTTCAGTTCAGCAAATA